AGGAGTCTAAACTGCTGCGGGGTGGCGGTGGTGAAGATGACCGATCGGCAGTTCACCTAACCTAGATGCACACGTTCACGGAAGCCGCCCAGTACATCGGGCCCGTGTTTCTGTGCTAATGCCAGCTTTTTCAGGAGATGGGGGGAGCTTGGTAGTGCATTGACGCACCCGCCTGAGGGCTCATGCGTGCTTTTGTTATTGGTACCTACACTTTACCTCTCTCTTTCAATGCATTGGATTGGGCTGTGTTCGTATACTTTTCAGCGTACGTTTGGTCACGCAGTGCCAGCATAGCCTGAAAAGGAGCGCACTCGCCTTCGGCTACTTGGCTTGGGCGCAAGATCATCGACACTGGTGGGCGATCACTCATTGCTCATTGGTGGCTCTGCAGTGCACAGTGCTTTGCGGAGTACGTGACGTACATGTTGTACGCCATCCTCTGAGGCTTTAAGCACGCTCGGCCCTCAGGAGGTTATAGGAGAATCCTCGGATAATCCTCGTCCTCCCCCTCCTCCTCCTCCTCCTCCTCCTCGTCCTCCTCCTCGTTGTCGTCTTCCTCCTCCTCCTCCCTCCTTCTTCCCTGTCCTCCACCTCCTCCTCCTCCTCCCTCCTTCCCTCTCTCCGTCTCGTGCCCGGCCGCGTGGGTTTCTTCTCGGCTGCACTCAGCGACCGCGCGGTGGTCTTCTCGGCCGCCGCGCTAGCCCGGCACCGCGCGCCTCGGGCCCCGGCGAAGTCTGGTCGCCCCCCATGGTGCGCGGCGCTTTCGGTGTTGATGTTTTTTTTTGTTCGGCGTCTGCGTCTCTTCTGATGTGTCCTCCGAGCTGGCGCTTTGCCCCCAGCGCGAGAGGCGCAGGGGGGGGCCGGGCGAGGAACCACACTTTTTGCAGCAGTGCCTCCTCCTCCTTCTCCTCCTTCTCCTTCTCGTCCTCCTCCTCGTCCTCCTCCTCCTGAGTGCCAGAAGCCCTTTTCTGTCCTTGTCTCCCACGGTGGCATGCGATCTTCCTCCTCCCCCTCCTCCTCCTCCTCCTCCTCCTACTCCTCCTCCTCCTTTTCGCGCGACCTGCGGCCCGAGGACGCCGCCAGGCCTTCGGCCTTGAGAGTTCTCGCCCTCCCGCCTGCGCCCGTTCTGGGACGCCGCGGGTTGAGCCAGGCGCGGGAAGGAGTCGGAGCCCCGTCCGCGAACGCCTGGTGAGGGTCGCCGCCGCCGCGCAGGTCACGCGCCTTGAGGTGTTCCCCTTTTTTTTCCTTCTCCTCCCCCCCGCCTCTTCCTCCTCCTTCTCCTCCTCCTCCTCCTCCTCCTCCTCCTCCTCCTCCTCCCCCGCCATTCCTTCGCCTTAGATCAGAAGAGGAAGAAGTACCCATACCGCCACCATGGCCCCGTTTTTCTTTTGTTCGGGCTCCTGGGAGGCCCTGGTCGCCACCGTTAGATTCGCCTCAAAATTGTGGTCAGAACGCACCCCAGGAGAGGTCCGGGGAGTAGTGGTATCCGTAGCTAATGGCTTCCCCACTATCACGAGTTTACTCCTCTCTGTCGCAGCTCTCCTCCACCGCCATTTCCTTGCCTCACGAATAAGTCCTCCCTGTCGCATCCCGGGGCCAGTCGAATGGGCGGGCCGGGCGTTTTGCATGAAACTTCATCTTCACCGTTTATGATGCTGAAGCTCAGGGTTGGCAAGAGCTTCGCGGACGGAGGGCGGGGCGTTCAACATGCGATTCTCGTTTTAGCGCCGCGTGCATCCGTCTGATCAAATTCAAAAGTTTCGCGGATGGAGAGCGGGCCATTTTCGAAATATGGTTTTCGCTTGAGCGCCTCGCGCATTAATTTTGAAGTATTGCAACAGCTTCCCGGATGGAGGGCGTTTTTCTTTTCAAAATGTGGTTTTCGTCTAGTCGCTGTGTTCATTCGTTTCAAGAGTTTGCAACAGCTTCAAGAATTCAGATGGTTAGCGCCCCAGATCTGCTGTTTTGGTACGGTGTAGGAATGCCAGGGCGCAGCAATAGGTTGGTTCGTGGCGTTGAGGATTGAAGTCCCAGGAATGGTGTTCGGGCACGGTTCAGGATCGTCACGACGCAGCAGTAACGGTGATTCGCGGCTCCAAAGTCCCAGGAATACTGCTCATACGCAGTTCCAGATTTTCAAACGTTTGTCCGTCCTCCTTTCGGCATCCGATACGCGGAGGCGTGGTGTAGCCTTGCATGCGGACGCCCGCGGAACCAGTCTAGCGACGACCACGGACTTCGAGGTTAAGCGGCTACAGAAGGGGCCCAGGATAGAGCGCCGTCGTCTCGGTCGCGAAGCTCTTGACCCCGAGGCACCGGTCTACCCCTTCGGGTGGGTTGCCCCTGGGAATTGGTTCGGTGGTCTTCCAGCAGCTGACATCATAGATGACCTTGCTGGGTGTGTCGTGGACCTGCCCCTCGTCGAGGACGATAGTTTCTCGCCCAGGCGGTCTGCGTCTGGATACAGGCGTACCTGCTGGTGCTGATGTACTACTTGGTCCGCATGGTTTTCTTGCATCTGGGGGCAAGCCGTCCCTGGAACATCTTGCTGCTGATGCTGCTCTTCCTGACGGTCGCGCTGGTCACGCAGAACATCATCCCACTCGTGATGACGCTCAGCGTCAGCCTGTTTTCGACAGCCCTGGCGGTGTATGTCCTGATCCTGGCGTACCCGCTGGAACTGTTGGTGATGTACTTCCTGGACCCCTTCACGGCCGTCCAGATGGTCTACGCGGGGCTGGGACCAAGCCGTCCTTGGAACGTCATGCTGCTGATTCTGCTCTTCCTGTCGGTCGGTGCCTTTCTGGTCATCGTCATCCTTATAACGTTCGCCTTCCTGGCCGCAACCGTCCTTCCAGTGTTTCTTGGTTGTCGGCGCGCCAGGCTGTTGCGAAAGCCTGGCTGGAGCCTGCTGCGACCGCGCTGGGGCCGCAGGCTGGTGAGGCTCAGCTCCCTTTTGCTTCCCACCCAACAGCTTCCGCCCTCCCGATTTCCAGGCCGATGGAGATCCTCGGAGGGAGTGCCGTCGGAAACGGTAGAAGCGGCAGATGCCTTTGAGGGAGTGGGGTGGAGAGATTGGGAGTGGCCGGGGTGATTTTCCACGTTGCATAGCTGTGCCGCCTTGTTATCATCGGTCGTTGATTGCGATTGGCTGCTCATTCCTATCAGGTGAGCAGGTGGCAGGATTTGATTCGATGTTGCACAGCGCCGCTGTGCTATCGCTGTTGTAGTTGAGCCTGCACAGTTTTCGGTGCCCCTTTTCTTCGGTCGTGTCCTTCCGCTCGTTTGTCTGCGGTTCCTGGGGCCCGCCCTTCGTTTTCTTTCGGCCCCTTCGGGCCCCTTCAGTCGCGCGTCGGCTACGTGCGGGAGTTAGTGTTCCGACGATAACCCAATGATATTAAACAAAATCATCCTCTCCCTTATTCCTTATTCCTTATTCGAAATTTGCCCTTGCTCCCCCCTCTGGCCGGCCGATGGCGGCCCCGTCCGGGCCTTCCCATCCTAACTGTACAAAAATCCATACAAAGTCGCCGTCGTTGTTTCTCTCAACGTGGCCTTCCTTGTCGTCGACGATGCGAAATGCGTAGCAAGAATAGGACGCAGCGCGCATCGCGCGCGGCCGTCGATCCGGGTCCTCCCATCGCGATTGTAAAAAAGTCAATACGATGTCCCCGCTTTTTCCTCGCATGGCCTGTCTTGTCTTCGACGATGCGAAATGCGTCGCGGGAGTGGGGCGCGGCGCACATCGCGCGCGGACGTCTGGGACAACCCCAAGCGGGAGGGGCCATCCTACCTGTCAAAAACGATACCAAGTCGGCATGTTTCTTCTCAGTGGGGATTTTTACCGAACAGCGAAGACTGATAGGTTTCTAGTGGTGTCAAAGAGAGCATCTTGACTCCCCGGGGGGGTCTGGGCGGGTGCCGGGGAAAACCGCGGGCGGGCGTTTCGCCTGAGATTTCCTTACATTTTATGCTGGAATCGTGCTTTCGCCTAGGCCCGGCCACATTTTGCTTCAAAATCGCGCTCTCCCCTGAGACCTCCTTACATTTAATGCTGGAATCGTGCTCTCGCCTAGGCCCCAGCCACATTTAGCTTTAGAATCGCAGCAGGCTGATGCTGAGGCAGGCTGAGGCTGAGGCTGATGCAGGCTGAGGCTGAGGCTGAGGCTGAGGCTGAGGCTGATGCAGGCTGAGGCTGAGGCAGGCTGAGGCCGCAGGACCGTGCGGGAGCGCAGCAAAGTGAGGCTGAGGCAGGCTGAGGCTGAGGCTGAGGCTGAGGCTGAGGCTGAGGCTGAGGTTGAGGCAGGCTGAGGCCGCAGGACTGCGGGAGCGCAGCAGGCTGAGGCTGAGGCAGGCTGAGGCTGAGGCTGATGCAGGCTGAGGCTGAGGCTGAGGCAGGCTGAGGCCGCAGGACTATGCGGGAGCGCAGCAGGCTGAGGCTGAGGCAGGCTGCGGCTGAGGCTGAGGCTGATGCAGGCTGAGGCTGAGGCTGCGCAGGCTGCAGGGAGGCTGATGCTGAGGCTGAGGCTGAGGCTGAGGCAGGCTGAGGCCGCAGGCTGACTATGAGGCGGGAGCAGGCAGGCAGGCTGAGGCTGAGGCTGATGCAGGCTGAGGCGCAGCTGAGGCTGAGGCTGAGGCTGCAGGCTGAGGCAGGCTGAGGCAGGCTGAGGCCGCAGGACTATGCGGGAGCGCAGCAGGCCCAGGCTGAGGCAGGCTGAGGCTGATGCAGGCTGAGGCTGAGGCTGATGCATGAGGCCGCAGGACTATGCGGCGGCAGCAGGCTGATGCAGGCAGGCTGAGGCTGAGGCTGAGGCTGAGGCTGAGGCTGAGGCTGATGCAGGCTGAGGCTGAGGCAGGCTGAGGCCGCAGGACTATGCGGGAGGCGCAGCAGGCTGAGGCTGAGGCAGGCTGAGGCTGAGGCTGAGGCTGAGGCTGAGGCTGATGCAGGCTGAGGCTGAGGCAGGCTGAGGCCGCAGGACTATGCGGGAGCGCAGCAGGCTGAGGCTGAGGCAGGCTGAGGCTGAGGCTGAGGCTGATGCAGGCTGAGGCTGAGGAGGCTGAGGCCGCAGGACTATGCGGGAGCGCAGCAGGCTGAGGCTGAGGCAGGCTGAGGCTGAGGCTGAGGCTGATGCAGGCTGAGGCTGAGGCAGGCTGAGGCCGCAGGACTATGCGGCTGAGCGCTGAGGCAGGCTGAGGCTGAGGCAGGCTGAGGCTGAGGCTGAGGCTGATGCAGGCTGAGGCTGAGGCAGGCTGAGGCCGCAGGACTATGCGGGAGCGCAGCAGGCTGAGGCTGAGGCAGGCTGAGGCTGAGGCTGAGGCTGATGCAGGCTGAGGCTGAGGCAGGCTGAGGCCGCAGGACTATGCGGGAGCGCAGCAGGCCCAGGCTGAGGCAGGCTGAGGCTGAGGCTGAGGCTGAGGCTGAGGCTGATGCAGGCTGAGGCTGAGGCAGGCTGAGGCCGCAGGATTATGCGGGAGCGCAGCAGGCTGAGGCTGAGGCAGGCTGAGGCTGAGGCTGAGGCTGAGGCTGAGGCAGGCTGAGGCTGAGGCAGGCTGAGGCCGCAGGACTATGCGGGAGCGCAGCTGGCTGAGGCTGATGCAGGCTGAGGCTGAGGCAGGCTGAGGCTGAGGCAGGCTGAGGCTGAGGCCGAGGCTGAAGGCAGACTGAGGCTGAGGTTGAAGCAGGCTGAGGCGGAGGCGGAGGCTGAGGCAGGCTCAGGCTGAGACTGAGGCAGGCTGATGCTGAGACTGAGGCAGGCTGATGCTGAGGCAGGCTGAGGCTGAGGCTGTGACTGCGACTGCCGTTGCCACTGCGACTGTCATCGCGAATGCGACTGCGACTGCGAGCACAGCAGAATTCTACAACTGGATTCTCATCTGGATCTTCAGGGGAATTCTTCCAGATATGCTTCTACACATCACTGTTAGGTTGCTTTGCCGGGATAATTTGTCGTCGGCTTTGCGAAATGCGTGGCGGGAAGGGGGCGCGGCGCACATCGCGCGCGACAGGGCGAAATATCGCTCTCGCTTCGGCGCCGCGCGCATGTTTTCTGAAAGTTGCGCTCCCGCTAAGGCGCGGCGCACAATTTTCGTTCGCCAATTCGTCGAGCGCCTAGGGCCCCCTGGGGCCTCCCAGGGTCTCCTGGGACATCCTGGGGCTTCCCGGGGCTTCTCCAGGGCCTCGTGGATCCTCCTGGGGCCTCCTGAGGCATCCTGGAGCTTCTTGGGATTACCCGGGGCTTCCTGACACTTCCGAGGGCTTCCTGAAGCCTCCTAAAATTACCTGGGGCTTCCTGGGCCCTCCTGAAGCCTCCCCGGGTTTCCTGGGAGTCGATGGGGCTTCTCCTGAGGCCTCCTGGGGCCTCCTGAGGTTTCCTGGGGCCTCCCCCTACAGTATGATGTAACGTTATTCGAGCAATTGGCAAAGACTGGCGGAAGCGCAAGTCTAGATCAAAACGACTAGAGAAAACAGCCGGATGACCACCTACATATGGTCATGCGTGTAAGGACGGAGCCGAGGGTAATGTGAACATATTATTTGACAGTGGCGGCATTTTGAAATTCTGTCGGCGGTGTAGGATCAGATCGTCTTACCGACCAATTTCGTCTAACATGTGGTCAAACCGGAGATGTCATTTGCAAACCCATATCGGCATCACAAGCATGTGTTGGCGCAGCAGATTGCAAACATCCAGTGCGCAACAGCACTATAGCTTCTCACATTGAGCAGTGGCGAGTCATGTCAATGAATGGCACGACAGCGCTTGGCCACATTACATGACAGTTCAATGAAAGTCTGAGCTATCAGCAGAGCCGCCCGGACGGGAGCCATCAACCATATTTTAGCATTATGTAAGGACATAAGGGTCAGCGATTTGAAACAACAGACGTGCCGATCGCATTACCAGCGTGCCATGGGGTGCGAAGGCGGATGATCAGATTATTCAGCGAGGCTTCCAGCGAGATTCCCATTTCAAGTTAGGATTCCCCGTCTGTGCGTTACGGCGAGAAATCCTTACTGAAAACGGTGAGCCTTCCATTTTTGTAAATGTTCTAGCTCTCGAGCGAATCGGTTGGCCCCCCCCTACCAGCACGCATCGGGGCTTGACGAGGAGGGGCAAGATGCAAGGAGATAGGGAGGAAGGAGAATGCGCAGGAGAGACAAGGAGCAGAAGGCGCGACCCGCGGGAGGAGGAGGAGGAGGAGGAGGAGGAGGAGGAGGAGGAGGAGGAGGAGGAGGAGGACGAGGAGGAGGAGGAGGAGGAGGAGGAGGAGGGAGGAGGATAGGAGGAGGAGGAGGAGGAGGAGGAGGAGGAGGAGGGGGGAGGAGGAGGGGGAGGAGGAGGGGGAGGAGAAGGAGGAGGAGGGAGAAAGGGAGCAGCAGCAGGAGCAGGAAGAGGAGGAACAGGAAAAAGGAGGGGGCGCGGCGGTTTGAGGATGAGGAGGAACAGCTTGGGTGGGAGGGCTGGGGCCTCCTCCTCCTCCCTCCTCCTCCTCCGCGTAGGGAGCGAGCTTGTGATGTACCGAGGCGCGGGGATTGCAGAAAAGCAGGGAGAGGAGCAGCCGAAGGACGAGGAGGAGGTGGCGGAAGACGATTGAGGAGGAGGAGGAGGACGAAGACGACGGAGGAAGAGGAGTGAGGAGGAGGGGAATGCAAAAAGGGGAGGGGAGGACGTGGGGGAGTGGGGGAGGAGGCAGCGGAAGACGGAAGAGGCGGAGTGAAGAGGACGTCCTCGAGCAGGGAGGAGGGGAAGGAGAAATGGGGGAGGGGGGAGGAGGCGGGCTGGAGACAAGGGGATGGGGCGGGGAGGGGAGCAGGAGAAACTGGGACGACGTGGGGTGGAGCAGGAAGAGGGGGACGGACCGGACGCGGTGGCACCGGTTGCTAGCAACCCCCCCCATTGCACCCTCCGTGCCCCTCCTGCACCCGCCATCCCCCATATCTTTCGGAGGCGGATAGACCTCCTACCTTGACACGTCGATTAAGGAATTGGCCGTTTTCGATTCGCGAGAGGGCGCCGCGGCCGTCATTTTTGCGGGTCCAGGTCCATCGGTTTCGGTCCCAGGCCGTCTTAGCTAAGGGGAGGTTTACTAAAGGGAGGTTTGTCCACCGCCGAATCCTTCTCTCTGGCGGCGGGTCCTCCGCCTCCTCTGCCCTCTTCTCCGCCTGCCGCCTCCTCCCGCCGTCGCCTCCGCCGCGTCGTCCACGTCTGCATTCTGCGTCTGCTCCCCCCCTCCTCCTCCCCCGCTTGCGCCTCCTCCCGAGTTCAAGCTGATCCCGAGCATCAGGATGCTGGTGGAGGTCCACTTGCAAATCGCCGACGAGGAAGGAGGACCGGGAGGAAAGAGGGACAGGCGGAGCGAGACGATGGCGGTGTTGCTGATGATGGTGCTGGCGATCTGATCATGTTGGTGGTGGTGGTGGTGCTGGTGACTGCGATGTCGAGGATGAAGATGAGGATGACGAGTGTGATGGTGGTTATGCTGCTGTTGATGGTGGCGCCGATGTTGTTGTTTGATGTTGATGTTGATGTTGATGATGGTGATGGTGATGGTGATGGTGATGTTGCTGCTGTTGCTGCTGATGATGATGATGCTGGTGATGAACCTTCCGCTGCGATGACGATGATTAAATATAGATGTGTGGATAACTATAACATGGTGGTGGTGGTGATGCGGATGCGGATCATGATGATTGTGATGATGGTGATGCTGGCACTCATGGTGATGATGTTGATGATGGTGATGCTGAAGATGATAACGATGATGATGGTGACGGTGATGGTGTTGGTGACCGTGACGGTGACGGTGACGGTGACGGCGGTAGTGGTGACGGTGATGGTGATATTGGTGAGGTTGATGTTGTTGATGTTGATGCATTCGGCGGTGATGCATATGGCAGTTGTTGTGCTGGTGGTGAAGAAATTGAAGATCCATGTTCTATTGTTGTGCGGAGGATAACAATACCGACGAGACGATGATGGTAATGATGGTGGTACGGAGGAGGAGGAGGATGATGCTGTTGATGGTGATTGTGGTGGTGGTGGTGATGATGCAGATGCGGATGCGGATGCCGATGATGATGCTGATTGTGATGATGGTGATGATGGTGATGCTGTTGATGGTAATGTTGACGATGACGGTGACGGTGACGGTAACGGTGACGGTGACGGCGGTAGTGGTGATATGTTTTTTGATGGTGATGGTGATGTTGGTGTTATTGATGTTGTTGATGATGGTTCAAGTGGTGGTGATGTATAGGTTAGTTGCGTTGTTGATGATGACGAAACTACATATTATTGTGATGCGCGGAGGATGACAAGAACGACGATTTTGTTGCTGGTGATGGTGATTGTGACGATACTTACGATGAGGAGGATTATGAAACTGCTTGTGATAATGGTGATGATGCTGGTGCTGATGCTGATGCTGATGATGATGATGACGACAACGACGACGAGAAGGAGGAGGAAGAACAACGAGACAAAAGAGTTGCCGTAGGAATCAAGATAGGCCAGTGTTGAAGGAACGCCAGGAGGAGAGAAGGGTAGGAGGGCGGACGAGGAGGGAGACGCTCAAAATCCGTTCCTCCAGGGCCCCCGCCAGCTGTTCATTCCTGGCTGGTCTTGCGACAGCCCCAGGTGCCCAGGGGCCGAAACGGGCCTCCAAAGGTAGAGCAGCGTGAACAACCTCCTCGAGCCTCTTCTTCGCCCTTCACTCCTCTCCCCAGACATGCCTGATTGTTTGTCCAAAGCGAGGTCCCTGGAAGTCCCGGACCTGTCCCTTGGACATGCTGTTTGTGCCTGCGTCCTTCCTTGTCGGTCCAGGGGCCCTGCACCTGGCTTCCCAGCACCGCAGACGACGGAAAACAACCTCCGCCCTGACTTTTCGAGACGCCGCAGAGCTCGAGCGGAGGCAGCAATCCCTATCCGCTCCCTCGCGGTCTGGATTCTGGATTCGCGATCCCGCGGGTGCGCGGTCGCACGGATGCGCTCCGCGCGGG